TAAATATTTTAAAAAATCTATTAAGGGATTGAAGCTTAATTAAATTAAGAGTCTTTTTAACCAGCTAATGGTGTATTTTTTTTAATAAATTTGTAAGGAGTCGAATTCGAACTGTTGTTTTGGAGGAAGGAGAATGTATTTATACGTGATCTGACGTCACTGGGTCGAAGGTCCAAGTGCGAGCTAATGGTGTATTTGTTGTAATTTTCACTTTTAATTTATACAAAAAAAATTATAAAAATAAATTTTATTTTCAATACTAATATCATGTGTAATTATTTAATGATATTGTTAATAAAATTTATTAATTTAAAATTAAAATTAAAATTAATTTTTATATTTTTTATATATTTATAATAAAAAATAATTTTAATATTTATTTTAAAAATATAAATTAAAAAAATTTTAAATTTATTTATATATATATTTATTTTTTTGACCAAGTAGATGGTTAGGAAGTTAGTAGAGTTAATTTGTTAGCCGCTGGAATTTTTCCAGGAAAGTGAACGTTCCACCCCCTCATTTGAAGGGCGCAACCATTAGGTCGCAAGTTGGTGGAGTTCACAGCGGTAGCAGAACTCGAAATCCTGACCTCCGCCTCACCCAAGCCCTAAAGCTTGGGGGCAACCAATTGGGCCACAGACCCGGTTGACAAATTTATTTATATTCTTGACTATAAGTCTACCGTTTAATTTCTGACATCCACGGATAACAAAACGGGTAAAGGACAAAGAAATCAGCAGCAAGTATCTTGAGGACCCCAATGAAATGAATTCCATACGTGTAGTACGATGCTGTGTGGTATTTGCCACTGTCGAGTCTTTTAAGCACAAATTGTCTAATTGCCGAGACCCTAATTATGGTTGTTTAATTTAAAAATTTTTATATATGATTGTTTAGATTTAATATTTATTTAAATGTAAACATAAACATAAACATCATTATATATCAACACATTGTAATAAATAAAAGACTTAGAACCTAAAAACTTAATATCAATCGCAAGGATAGGCTTTTGCGATAATTATGGTTGTGGTTGTA